TGCAGCAGGAAGTCCTCAGGAATGATCAGTCACCACCAAATGGCAGCATCTTATCAAGCAGTAATTCCTGTTGTGGGAAACCCAGCTGAGGCAGCATTTCCACGCAAACACAACACAGAGAAGGTCTCTTTCAATAATTGGCTCCAATTTACACAGCTTTCCCCACGATGCTAAGTGTACTTGACGAGTGTCGTAATGATCTATGAGACAGAAACGGTGGCACGAAACCTCCAGAGGTTCCATCAGCTGTGGTTCTTTGCATCTAATACACAGTGAGTGAATGCTCCCAATTCAGTGAAGACATTTATCCTGAGGCAAAAACATTGATTCTCCACTTACCGTATTTTAATTGTGAGGTATCTAATTTATCTTTTTAGGATATAAACTCTTAAAGGGAGAGGTTTTTATTTTTCAAGCTATGCGCTCTTCTCATGCCTGCTTTATTTAACTGCAAAGGAGCCACATTCAGTTTAAATAATGCTCATATTAGCAAGAGACCACTTTCCTATTTCTAGAATTATTTACTGTAACTGATATTGTTTATCTACAGCAATGTCTGATGTAAAGATGAATTAGTGGGGACAATATTATGAAAAAAGAAAGAGTAACAAATAGAGGAATGTTCCAGATGATGTAAAAATGTTCTTTTCTACTGAGAAACTACTGTGCACAAGCAACACTGCTTTGAGGATGCCATTAGTCCAGAAAAAAAGAAACCAGGTGGGATGTTCCTCTTTTCCAGAACTAAAGGTGCTCCATTTTACTACCACCACCCTAGGTCTATCTGCTGGCCCAAACTCACATTTATGCTTCTGCCATGCATGAATTGGCCAAAGAGCACAGCCCATCAGTCCCAGATACTCAAGCTTGACGATTCACAGGTGATAAAATGTGACAGGAGTTTTCACCAACAGGCGAACTGCAGGGCATGCTAATCAAGCAGGCAAGGCAGCTCTAAAAACTGTGTGACAGCATAAGGAGATAAACTGAAACGGAGCAGAACATTCATGATACAAGAAACTTGAGACGCTACTCAGCCTGCAGTGCCAACAGCGCTGTATAAAAGCATCTAAATAACACAGCAACTTTATTTCCCCTTTGGAAGCAGGATTCCTTTCAACTGCCAGTTAAAGATGTTCTTGGCACTGCGTGAACAAGAAAGGCAGTGGCTCACTGCCCTTAGCATGACTTCTTCCAGGTTTGCTTCTCTTTTCAGTTGCAGCAAACCACAGTCAAACAGACAATTACCAGTGGGTTGTTTGGGTTTTTTTTGCTGTTATTGTTTGAAATGGTGGTGTTAGGATACTGCTGGCTATCAGTGTTGGCAGGTCTTGTTGACAGACAGGACAGGACAGGACACCACCAAGCAGCCGCTACGCCAGCTGCGTCCCCCGTCATGGGATGTGCCGCACGCCGGGAGGCTCCAACAGAACCTGCTTGGGTGGCTCTTGCATCAGCTGCAGCTGAGTGTGTGCTAGCAGCAATAGCTCTTCCCCCAGAAGGTCACCTGTTCCCAGATGCTGCCATTCAAAGGACACCTGCTCTGGATATTTTTCCCAAGCTGTGCCAAACGAGAAGGTTTGCTTGTGTCAAACATGCAAAGCATTGTTTCCTCTTTTCCCCTACTGACAGCCCAAGTTTCGGGGTCAACTTGTGATGCTGCCACTACAATGGCAAAACTGCCTTTGGTTCAAGGCAACCACCTTTTCAAAATACTTCAAAATACTTCAGCTGTATTAAATACTTCATACTATACCCACAGTATGATCCCTAGATATTTTTCTCCCTACAAAGCTATTATGTTTAACACACTATGGTCCCACAGCCACTGCTAATACTCCTACTGACTGCAAAAGATGGTAAATTGCCAAGCACAGAACACAGGATTCCCTCTTCCAGCAGAAAGGATGTGCAAGAACCTGCCCCAGGATTTGAAGAAGGTTCCCTCTTGGAAGAGCCTCTCTCTGCTCCCAGGCCACAGCAGCTGGAAGACCACTGATTTTGCTGGTGTGCCATGCCAGAGACCCTGGGGCAGTGCTCTGAATCACTGGAGCAATGAAAACAACTGAGGAATCTGAAGCATCCAATTCAACCTGGGAAGGCCCCATGTGTCAAGTCTCACTAGAATAAGAAGTCTCAGGGACCTCAGATGAGCTATAGGGAGAGCGCTTGACTGTCACAGCCCTTCACTGATCACACGGAGGAATAAGGGAAAATAAAACAATCTGTAGCTTCCCTGCTCAGTCATGCTCAGATTTTGATCCAAGATACAGCAAAAGAAGAGGTGGGGCTGCCCACATACTACACTTCACTCTGGAGCCACTGCAAAGGGATGGGGAGGGACTTGGCAACAAGGATAAAGCAAGCTGTGCATTTACTCTCTGGCTGATAAGGGCTGGGCATAGCAAAATATGAAACAGAACAGCTGCTACTTCTTTTGAACAAGAAACTTCTGATTGTTGTTCCAAGCCATAATTTAGAAAAAGATGTAAAATTTTATTTTGGGATTTCTTTAACATTTTATCCCTCTCTCCTTCCATTAAAAAAGGTGGAGAGGGGCGTGTCTGGAATTCACTAATAGTGAAATCACACTCACAGAATCACAGAATGTCAAGGGTTGGAAGGCACCTTTTGGAGATCATCGAGTTCAAACCTCCTGCCAGAGCAGGACCAAAAAACCACACACAGCTAGGACAGATCACTCAGAAAGGCATCCAGACAGGTCTTGAAAGCCTCCAGAGAAGGAGACTCCACAACCTCTCTGGGGAGCCTATTCCAGTGCTCTGTAACCCTCACAGTAAAGTTGTTCTTCCTAATGTTAAGGTGGAACTTCCTGTGCTTCAAGTTTGAATCCATTGCCCCTCAACCTGTCACAGGGCACAAGTGAAAAGAGCTTGTCCCTGCCTTCTTATTGCCCAGCCCTCATGTATTTATAGTCGTTAATTAGATCCCCCCTCAGTCTTCTCCTCTCTAGACTGAAAAGCCCCAGGTCTCTCAGCTTTTCCTCATAAGGCAGGTGTTCCAGTCCCTTAATCATCCTCTTAGCCTCCGTTGAACTCTGTTAAGTAGATCCCTGTCCCTCTTGAACTGGGGAGCCCAGAACTGGACACAATACTCCAAAGTAAGGTCTCACCAGGGTCGAGTAGAGGGGGAGGAGAACCTCCCTGGATCTGCTGGAGACACCCCTCTTAATGCACCCCAACATACCACTGGCCTTCTTGGCCACAAGGGCACATTGTTGTCCCATGGAAAACTTGTTGTCTACCAGGACTCCAAGATCCTTCTCCACAGAGTTGCTCTCTAGCAGATCAGCTCCCAGCTTGTACTGGTGCATTTTGTTCTTCCTTCCCAGGCACAGGACCCTGCATTTGCTCTTGTTGAACCTCATTAGGTTCCTCTTTGCCCAGCTCTCCAGCCTGTCCAAATCTTGCTGAATGGCTGCACAGCCTTCAGGTGAATCAACCAATCCTCCCAGCTTCGTGTCATCAGCAAGCTTGCTGAGAAGACACTCTGTCCTGTCACCAGGGGCATTGATAAAGATGTTGAACAGGACTGTACCCTCATCCAGGTCGTTGATGAAGATGTTGAACAACACCGGTCCCAGTATTGACCCCTGGGGGACTCCACTAGTCACACACCTCCAACCAGATTCTGCCTCATTGACTACAACTCTCT